TCAGCAGGGGAAAGAAGCTGCCACCACCTTTTGCGGGTGGATGGGTACTCAGAGGCCTGCTGGCCTGACCTGTCTGCTGAGAGAGTGGCAGACTTAGAAATCAGGGTCTTGACTTCAGGCCCCTTCTGTTGTCTGTGTGTTTACACAGCCTAGCTTTTTTAGTGCTCTGGGCATGTTTCCTATCTGTAGTAAGTGATTAGTGAGCTGCTGAGAGTTTCAGAGGTTTTTAGTCTTTGCCTCTTAGTCATTGAAAGTTCAGGAGCTAGGGAACTGGCTCTTCTGGCTATAAAGCCAGGTGGGCCCTCAGGCTCCTCTAGAGGCAATAAGGGAAGCAGCCATAGGTTCCCTTTGAGGAGAGCAAATTAACCCATTTAGGCCACATTCATGTAAATTCAGTCCTGGTTTGTTCTTCCCTCCAGAGCTTGTTGGCCCCTTGCACTCAGCCTGGAAAAAGAATGTTGTTTAGTTACTTAGTTGGTGGGGCGGAGGGGCACACCTCCGTTTTCTCTAGCAGAGCATTGGGGAAAATTCCTCATATCCTTCCTAGTGTGAGAAGGTGGGGGTGGGGATTCTGGAGGACCTGTTAAAGTTTCATTGAGATGGTAACTGCTCAGGGGGCCCTATCTCTCCATATCAATGATACTACATTCCAGTCCATAGGTCCAGACTTTAACCCTATATTTTACAAGGAGATAACCTACTGGAAATCCAGGGCCACCAGGTAGCCTCCAGGAAAGTCAACGGCTTCCTTGTAAGCAGGTTTTTGCAGCCTGGCCTAGAGTCCTCCAAGGAGCAGTGCCCAGTCCTTCAGGCTTCTGGAATGATGTAGAGGTTTCTCCCTACATTTACTCTCCCTACGTTACTCCACCCAGATCTGAGTGGAGCTTATAATAAAAAGGGACAGCAGGAGACTTTCTGCCTGAGCCGCTTGAGGGCCGGTTCGACCACAATTGGTCACTGGTAATGTGTCCAGGCTGCAACCACTCCCTGTGGTGGTGAAGTCCTTGGCAGTGTGGGTGCTCCCTGCTGCGCTCGTAGGTAGAGGAATTGGGGGCCTTTTGGCCTCTGCCCCCTGAGAAAGCTTACTGTTTCGTTTTTCTTTTCTTTTTTGTTGTTTTTGAGACGAGAGTTTCTCTATGTATCATCACTGGCTGTCCAGGAACTCACTCTATGGACCAGGCTGGCCTTGAACTCATAGACATCTGTCTGCCACAGGCTTGCATTGCCATTGCCCAGGTGACAATGTTAACCCTATTGGGTTGTGTGCTACATAGCTGTGCTGGGGGTGGGGAGTGGGGGATAATAGAGCTATCTGTAGCAATGGTGGGCTACCTAGAAAAACTTTCCATAGGTTAACCAACTCTCCCAATCTTGGATGCAAAACTCAGTCCTCCAAACTCAAAATATTCAGGGCCAACCAGGGTGAGTTGGCCTCCAACATGCAAAGGCAGAGGCCTTTGTCTGCTCCTGGGGAAGGCATTCTAGGCTTGGGGCTGCAGAGGGTGGAGTTGATGGCCCCTAGACCCAGGCTTGCCTGAGTCTTACACCCAACCTAACCTGTGTGACCAGATTCCTGGAGGCCCCTGGAAGGGCTTCAGAGGGGGCCTCTAGGCGGGCTGGGCTCTATTGGGGCTGGGCTCTATTGGCCCTCCTTTGCAGCCACTCTTTCCTAACATGCTGTGAAATCCATGCCCCAGGAGGCAGATGAGCTGGACAGATCTGACCCCATCAGCAAAGTGCTGAAACTGACCACTGATCTGAAGAAGCTCCTAGTTCTGACTTGGAAACTGCAGAAAAGCCATCTCTATTGGCCATCAGAATGACTCGGTGTATAAAAATGCACTTGCCAACAAGCTTGATAACCTGAGTCTAATTCCTGGGCCCCTTGTAGAGGAAGGAGGGTAGCACCAACTACTGCAAGTTGTCCTCTGACCTCCTCACACTAGCAGAGACACACAGTATACACAAATAAATACAATTTAGCAAGACTGTATCAGTTTGAAGGCTGGAAAGAGTTATGAGTGCATACTGCTCTTCCAGAGAACCAGAGTTCTGTTCCCAGCATGCATGTTGATTGGCTCACAACCACCTATAACTCCAGTTCCTGGGATCTGATGCCTCTGGCTTCTGCAGTTACCCTCACTCATGTACAGGTACCACAATACTCCTCCCCCCAAATTAAGGAAACAATTTTTTCATTTGTTTTTGGTTTTTCAAGACAGGGTTTCTCTGTGTAGTCCTGGCTGTCCTGAAACTTGCTCTGTAGACTAGGCTGGCCTTGAACTCAGAGATTCATCTGCCTCTGCCTCAGGAGTGCTGAGATTAAAAGCAGGCACCACCACATAGTGCAGAAAAGAAATGTCTAATACTCTGGGTTCTGAGAAGTCCATCTCATCAGGGAGAGGTAGTGGTCCCATCCCACTTTTCAGACCAGGTGACTAGCACTGGTCTCCGTCTATTTATTTGGTGGGAAAGCAAACTTCTCTTCCAAAGCAAGTATTCAGGCATCTGTACTGGCCTGCCCTTGGGGTTCTGACAGAATACACCCTCAGCTGCAGCCACTAAGAGCACCACCTGTGCATATTCACTACATTCCCCTTTAAAAGGGCCCTGTCCACATCCTATCTTTCTCTTTCTCTCCCTCTTTCTCTTCCACCACTCTTGTCCCCAGAGACCAGTCTGTGCTCCCCTCTCTGCTCCTTTTTCTACCCCTTCTCTCTTTTCCAAAAAACCAACTATGTGATCCTGTTGTATGGCATGACTTCTCTTCACAGTGTTTTAAAAATTACAACAGTGCTAAAATCTATACCTAGAAATGATGAGTACATCACACCCCTGGGTTCTAATACCACCTTCATAGATACAGAGCATTGAAATGGCTCAGCTGGTAAAAGGTTCTTGCTACTAAACATCTTGTTACTAAAAAAGAGTTCCATTTCTTATGTCCTGGATGATAGAAAGACAACTGATTTGGCTCCTGCATGTTAATCTTCGTTGGGTTTTCAAGACAGGCTTTCTCTCTGTAGCTTTGGAGCCTCTCCTGGCACTCTGTAGACTCAAGGCTGGCTTCAAACAGAGATCCACCTGCCTCTGCCTCCCAAGAGCGGGGATTAAAGGCGTGCACCACCATTGCCTGTCCTGCAAGTTATCCTTACACACTGTGACTCATACATACATACTTACATACATATTAAATTAAGGGGGAAAACCCTTTAGATGGGCAGTGGTAGCACATGCCTTTAATACCAGAGTAAGCATTCTCAGGGAACAGGGGCTGCACAGTAAAACTCTTGTCTTTTTTGAAAAGTAAAGCTGGACATGGTGGTACACCATGCCAGGCCTCCTTTTTCTTTCTTTCTCTCTCTCTTTCTTTTTTTGTTTGTTGATTTTCAGAGGTTTTTGGGTTTTTGTTGTTGTAGTTTTTGAGACCTCCCAGAAATCCCACATGCCTATGCCTCTGGGGTGCTGAGATTAGAGGCATGCACCACCACTGGGGCTGGAGAGATTGTTCCTGTTCCGTGTTTAAGAGTACTAGCTGTTCTTCTAGAAGTCCCAGGTTTGAGTCTCAGTACCTACATGGTGGCTCTCAACTACCTGTATTGCCAGTTGCAGGGAATCTAATGCTCTCTCTGTTCTCTGCAGGCATTAGGAATATGTGTCCTACAGATATTCATGTAGGCAAACACCTGTTTTGGGATGCTGGCCTGTCCTCTGATGAAGTGTTTTTTTAAAATAGTCTTCAGAAGCTGAGCATGGTGGAACATACCTTTAATCTTAGGACTCAGGAGGCACAGGCAGGCAGATCTCTGGGAGTTCCATGCCAGCCAGGGGGGGATTGTTCCTAACTTTCATGACTGCCCTGAAATGTACACATATTGGCAGGACTGTGTCCCATGTGGAATGCAGGCTCTTTAAGTTTTCTCAACTGAGCCTCTTGAGGGAAGAAGTTAAGACACCTCGTCCTCCCTGGTCAGATCAGATTTTGAGCTGAAATTAGGCAATACCCTGTGAATGGAGACTCTAAATGACCGGAAGTCGGGGCTCAGGCTCATTTTAAACCTCTGTGGTGTGCCAGCCTGGCTCGTTATTCATGTGGCTATCAAAAAGAGCACTCTATCTCAGGGTCCCCCTCGCCCCTTCTTGCCCCAGGCCGCTTTCTGCCCATTTCAACAACAGGCTCTTTATCACCAGGCCACAAGGGACCTTCAGCAACTCAGCTCAGGCCCCTAGTTTCGGCAGTGGGGGTGGAATGGGAACACCTGGGCTGAGGTGGAAGTGTGTGCCTATGTGTATTGGTGAGGGGAATCGTTTTTTTCTAGGCCGTTGCCTTGGTAATGCCACCTGAGCTGGGCGCCAGGCACCTGTTGTCTGGGAAACTGTAGGCGGAGCCTCTCCCCTAGGAGCTGCCAGGGTTATTGAGTTGAGACTGGAGACAGATCAGATTCCAGAGAGTCTTGAGAGGGTGGGGGATGGGGAGCGGGGTTATGATGATGGATAATGGGAGCATATTTTCCCCACCATCCAGAGTGAATTAGACAGGTGGCAAAGAGGGAGCAGGCTCAGGCTGAGAGCTCATCAGCCCATTCTCTGCTTCAAGGCAATAAATAGGCTCCTCTCATCTTTTTTCTTGGTCCTGTCTTCCCGGATTTCCTTTGTTACTGGGTTTACACTTGGTCTTGGCACCCTACCCTAACCCTGAAGGCCCTCATCCTACCCCCTTTTCACCATTGCTCTGGTTGTACTACCCAATGGCAGCCTCCAGGTCCCTTGCTGGGCTCCTCCCCTGCCCTAGGCCTTAAAACCCCGCCTGCAGCCAGCGCCCTCAGACATCCCAGGTGGCACCTCACAGTTCTGTTTTGAGAAAAGCTGTATACTAGCTGAGAGGACTTCAACCAAGAAAGGACGTGAGCAGCCAGCAGAGAGGAACACAGCTTTTCCAAGTCCATGGAAGGTTTTGAGGGTCTGTGATGGGCCATAGGCTTCCTAGAGGACACAAGCAATCCCGCTGAACAGGACCTAAGGACTTCTTTGTGTTCAGTGAGTATCAGCTGTGTGAGGCCTGCAGACACGAGGTCTGTCCTGGCCTGAGAGCAACAGATCCACCTCCTGAGCATTGAGACCCACCCTGAACTCTGTGCTCCCAACCCCATTGAGTTCCTGATTCAGGCTGAGAGCTGAGAAGACCCGAGGAGCAGATGGCTTCAACTGGCCTTGAACTCCTTGGCATGACCCTGGCAGTGCTAGGCTGGCTAGGGACCCTGGTATCCTGTGCTCTGCCACTGTGGAAGGTGACTGCCTTCATCGGCAACAGCATCGTTGTGGCCCAGGTGGTGTGGGAGGGGCTGTGGATGTCCTGCGTGGTCCAGAGCACTGGCCAGATGCAGTGCAAGGTGTACGACTCCCTGCTGGCACTGCCCCAGGACCTGCAGGCTGCCAGAGCCCTCTGTGTTGTTGCCCTTCTGCTGGCTTTGCTGGGCCTGCTGGTGGCTATCACGGGTGCCCAGTGCACCACATGTGTGGAGGATGAAGGTGCCAAGGCTCGAATTGTGCTCACTGCAGGGGTCCTCCTCCTCCTCTCCGGCATCCTAGTGCTCATTCCTGTCTGCTGGACAGCCCATGCTATCATCCAGGATTTCTATAACCCACTGGTGGCAGAAGCCCTCAAGAGAGAGCTGGGGGCCTCCCTCTACCTGGGCTGGGCAGCAGCTGCACTACTCATGCTGGGTGGAGGGCTCCTCTGCTGTACGTGTCCCCCATCCCATTTCGAGCGACCCCGTGGACCCAGGCTGGGCTACTCTATCCCTTCCCGTTCAGGTGCTTCAGGACTGGATAAGAGAGACTATGTGTGAGGCTAAGGCTTCTTCTGGAAGCTAGAACCTGCAGCTTTATGCCCAGGCACTGGGCCGCACCCTTGCATATCTTCATCAACCTCTTGTGCCAGGGAAGCTCACTTCTGTTTGGTGAGGACCTGGCTCTAGGGGAACCTCATCTGGTCTGTCCTGAGCCAACCCTTTGCAGTGGTTGCAACCTTGAGAAAGCGCCAAAGCTTTTGGGTACCCTGGCCCATCCCTGCCTCCCAGGGTATTGCTGGTATTCCTGAACTGACTTACTCTCCTATCTGTGGAGCTCTACCTTACCCCAGGAACCTGGGCTTCAGCCTCCTTGCCTTCACAGCAAGATGTACACTGTGACCTAACAGCCTTCAGATGGTCAAGTTTAATCCAACCATCACCTGAATCCAAGCTGCTCAATGCCCTACCCCCCTCCCCTGCAACCTGACTGAGCTGGGAATAAAAGCACATTGTAACTGAGATTCCTCTGATTTGTGAAAAGGCATGGGGGTGGAGGTGCCCCAGGTTCCAGCCAGCAAGCATGTTTGCTTAGACCACGGGGTCTGAGCCAGAAAGGTTTAGAATTGATTATGAAACTGGCTGCCTCTAGTTAGGCTCGTACCAAACACGAATCGACATCAAAAGTACATTATAAAAATCATGTTTTATTTAGTAAAACATTGCATGGGCAGGGAAATGTGCAAGGAGAGATGGGGGAGGGTCTACAAAACAGCTGGGACCTGATTTGGGGGAAGTACATGTAACTTTGGTATTGGGATGCAGGGGCCAAAGGTGTTAAAAGATTTGGAGTAGAAAATTCTTTGGTAACTTATCACTTGCCCTTCCAGGACTGGGAACTCTTGGGACAGGCCATCTTGGGGATCACAAAGGCCAGATTCACAAGCAGTCTCAAAACAGGTTCCACAGAAGATGCCCAGAGTGAATAAACTAAAAGTGTCACCCATCCCAATGAACAATCTAAAAGAGAGAAACAAACAGCAGAGGTAGGGGGAATCTGGACTTAAGTTGAGTCAAGGTTCCATAATGACAACCTATCTCAAAAACAGATGCAACCATCCCCAGGGGCAGGGTATTGTATAGCTCATGGTACTTGCCTACCAAATGTGTAGGGCCCCAGGTTCAATACCCAGTACCACAAAACAAAACCAAGGAAATAAACAACCCCAAACTACTAGGCATCATTTCTTGATGGCTCAGCTCAGGGTCCTAAGGTCCCCTGGCCATTAGAGCTTTACTCCCCAATGAGCATCAGACATAATTCTTGGTGGGGTATTCAGAGGGTCCACGAGAGGCTGAATGTGGAGCAGACGTAGAGTAGCGGGCCATGTAATGGCCAGGTCCCCGGGACCCTCCAGAGGAGCAAGCACAGCACAACAGTCCTCCACCCAGCAGCAAAAGGCCTGAGGCTGACCAGCCCAGATAGAGGGAGGCCCCCAGCTCCCGCTTTTGAGCATCAGCTACCAAGGGGTTATAGAAGTCCTGGATGATGGAGTGGGCTGTCCAGCTGACAGGAATGAGGGTCAGGATGCTGGAGATGATAAAGATGATCCCCGAGATGAGCACCAGTCGAGACTTGGAATTCTTGTCTTCTACACAGGTAGTGCATTTGGCTCCTGTGAGGTAGACCAGCAGGCCAAGCAGGACAATGAGGAGAGTAATGACAGAGAGGGCTCTTGCGGCTTGGAGGTCCTGGGGCAGTGCCAGCAGGGAGTCGTACACCTTGCACTGCATCTGGCCAGTGCTCTGGACCACGCAGGACATCCACAGCCCCTCCCATACCATCTGGGCTACAACGATGTTGTTGCCAATGAAGGCTGTCACCTTCCACATGGGCAGAGCGCAGGACACCAGGGCATTGACCCAGCCAAGCAGGGTCAGGACGATCCCCAAGATTTGCAGGCCGGCAGATGCCATGATGAATTCCAGGGGGCTGTGTAGTGTGGGAGGATTGAAATGAAGAGTGTTAAAGCGTGGCGGGCCCCAATGTCCTATAAATTGTCAGGTGTGATAGAAGCACAAAATACCCTGACAGTTAACTACTGTCTAGGCCAATCAAAAGCAAAATAAGCATTTAATTCTTCCCTAGTTTGTGAGATGTAAAGCACAAAAAATCCTGTTGTTTTTGTTCAGGTGACAGGAAATAGGATGAAGCTGAACTGAATGAAGCAAAGGCCAGTGCAGTGACAGATACTTTGTCATAAATTTATTTTGAGACAGGCTTTTTTTTTTTTAAGTTTTTGAACACAGGGTTTCTCTGTGTAGCTTTGGAGCCTGTCCTGTATCTCACTCTGTAGCCCAGGCTGTCCTGAACCCTCCTGAGACCCAAGCACCACCACCTCCCAGAGAGATGGTCTTATCTAGCCCAGGCTAGAACTGCTTTTATCTCCCAATGTAACTGGGGCTGACCTTGAACTTCTGACCCTCCTGCTTCCACTTCCCTGAATACTGGGCTAACAGGCAGATTTACCATCTGCAACACCTTACCCAGATACTGCAGCACTGGTGATTGCAGACTTGGAGCTTCCTGAATGCCAGACAAGCACTCTAAAAACTGAGCTACATCCTCAGGTACATTGTATCAGGTGAGCAAAGTAGCACAAGGAGGTGAAATGTCAGGGGTGTAATTTTGGAATGGTTGGGCTCTAGCCACAAGTTTCAGGTCCAATTGTATCCCTTCAGCACTCGGGTGAGATCTCAAGCTTCCTCCCACCACACCCAAGGCTCAAATGGAAACCCCCCAGCTCCGTTCCAGGTATCATTTCAGGTGGATATAATTCCTTGAAATCCCAGGCCTAGCCCTCCCCTACACTCCCAAGTATCTCCTTCCAATCCCTGGAAGTTGCTGGAGGCCCTTCCAGGCCAGGCCCAAAAGAGAGACGAGGAAAAACAAACTATTTTACCCAAAAGCAGATTTTTCTAGGCTACTAGCCGATTCTCCTTCAGCTTCCACCTCATGGCACATGCCCTCAAGGATGGGAGCATTCTTTCAAATTTTAGACCAAAGGCCAAGCTACCTTCCCTCTCTCGACACAACTTCCTAAGGAGCTAGACCCCAGTGCCTTCTGTGACAGACTGCACCTGTGTCCGTCATGCCGCAGTTCACATAGTTGGCACTAAGGGAGTCAGTTCTGCTCGGCGTCATGCTGTGGCTCCCCATTACCTTCGACTCTAAGGGTGCACCTTGCACCTAAGAATGACATTGACCCTTCGACTCTTCACTTGTCTCACACAGGAGTCAAAGAGTCAAGATCTGGAGAGACATTCGCTCCTTTTCATCTCTGTCCCTCTCCACTTAACCGAGTGCTCACTCTGCTTTGTTCGAGGGCGTGCTGTCCGGCTCGGCCACCCGGGGTAGGCTGATTATTAGGCCTAGGAGTGAGCGACCAGGAGGGGCTTAATGGCGGCGCCCGAAGCTGCAGGTGAGGGGGAGGGGAGTCCCGCCCCAAAGAAGCCAAGCAAGTGGAGGAGGGGCGTCCCAGGTTTCGGTGCCTTTGTCCCGGGGGGAGGGGGAGGGGCGTTTAACTTCTCTGGGGTTGCGGGGCCTCACGCAACTACTTCTTGCCTAGGGATTTGCCGACCCAAGTGGCTGCCACTAGGATCGAAGGCCCAGTCTCTGCATTCGCCCGCAAGCACCCTGCCACATCCCCTGCCTGCGAATCTCCACGCCCGCAATTCACACTTGCCCCAGGCTCACCTGAAAGAGACTGCAAAGGTTCCTACTTCGAAAGTAGGGACGAGGGCGGAGGCAAAGGGTCTTAAAGCCGCAATGACGTCACTGGACCACCTCCCTCGGGGAGGGGCAGAGACCCCCGCCCAGACAGCAGCCGAAGTTCGTTTCTCAGTCGGGTTTCTCAGCTCCTTAGTTGCTGGGGACTCCAGCAGCAACACCTGCTACCTGCTGAGACTTGAGAATTCATTCAACTTTTCATAGCCCCAGTTTCTTACTTTGCGAATGGAGACATGTCTGCATGTAAGTCCTATGTAGGACCTATGTAAGCCCTAAGGTACAAATTAAAGGGCATATTACTTTTGTGTGTGGGGGGGGGGGATTGTCACACTGCATACCTGTGGTTAGAAGACTACTAGAGAAAGTTGGTTCTCGTCTTCCACTCTGTAGCCCGGGGTATCGAACTCAGATTGCCAGGTTTGGCAGTAGGCATCCTTACCCGCTGGCTGCTCTTTGTTTTTGTTATACTCTGAGACCCTTAAAAAAGCAGCATGTAGGTCTGGAGAGATGGCTCACCGGTTATGAGGCTTTCTGCTTTTCCAGGTGACCGGGTTTATTTGTGCCAGCTTGTAACGACCTGTAATTCTATCTCTAGGAGATCCGTTGCCCTCTTCTGGACGCCAGGGACACTCATACACACGTGGCACACACACAGGCACACAAAAATAAAATAAATCTTTTAAAAAATAATGTAGCATGCCTTTGATCCCAGCACTCGAGGCCAGCCTGATCTACAGAGAGAGTTCCAGGACAGCCTCCAAAGCCATACAGAGAAACCCTGTCTCCAAAAAAAAAAAACCAAAAATGTAGCATGCATACGCTTACAGTACTGGTTACTGATACAGGAGAATCCGGAGATAAAGGTCAGCCCTGGGCTATAAAGCAAGATTCTTTCTAACAAAACAAACGAAGGAAAACCTGGGTTTGGTGGTGTTTGCCTGCAGTCCTAGCACTTAGGGGACTGAGAGAAGAGAATTGTTTCGAGTTTGAGGCTAGCCTGGGATACAGTATGAGATCCTGTCTCAAAGAGCGAAAACCAAACAAAACAAGCGAACACAAAAGCTGTGTGGATATAACTTAGTTCTTTCCTGTTGTATTTCATCCTCTGGTTTCCACCTCAAAATAATAGATAGATTATTTATTTGGACTTAAATTTCTTTTGTAATTATGGCTTGTAGCTAATTTTCTCCGCTCCACGCCTTTGGGACTGAGGCTCGCAGAGGGTGGAGCAGGGTAGACGGCTTCGGGGCGTTCTAGACATTTGGAAAGACTGTTCAATTCTGCTGAATGGCTCGTCAGCAGACTGCTTGCACTCAGAACCGCACAGCACAGTGGATGTTGGGCGGGCAGAGGCAAAGGCTCCGCCCCGGAAGGCGGGGGCGGGGCGGGGCCCCAGCCCTGAGTCTTGGCCCGCCTGTGGTGGGAACAGACTGCTGTTGCCGCGGGACCGGCTATCATGGCTCCGGCTTGGCCGCGGCCTCTACCGCAGATCCTCGTGTTGGGAGTCGGGTTGGTGTTGATGCGCGCCGCGGCCGGGGAACAAGCACCAGGTATGCTTGGCTCAGACGACAGTGAAGTTGGGACTTTTGGGTGGTCAGGAGCGGAATTTGGGTGCTGGAGATCTGAGTGGAACCCGGTAGACGTGCACATCTAGTCTTTAGGCAGCTTGTTCCAAGTGGGGAAGGTCTGAATCCACTCCAAGCTTTATCCACATCCGAGCCTCAGTTTCGCTACCTGTTCAATCAGGTGTGGGGTCTTCTGTCTCAAAAGTTCGAGCCAGAGTAGAGAAAGTAAACTTCGAGGGAAGAAGTTTTGTTTTGGGAAGGGGGCATGCCCTCACCCTGACCTGTAATGGGGGTCCGAGCAGCCCCGATAGCTAAGAATCGCGAAGGGGCACTGGGGTCTTTGCCCTCTATACCATGTGGGGGTGCCCCTTCCATCCGGTGACTTCAATGCCCAGTTATGCGGGAGGAGGGACTGGGGTCGGGCTCAGTGCCCAGGAGTGAGTCACACTCTGACGGCGTGGGGGGGCATCCCCCCCCAAGTCGCGCGCTACCCGACCCCCTCCCGCACTGCCGTGTCTTGGTCAGGCGGTGCGGTCACCTGTGAGGAATGCGAGGGTGAGGGGGGCGATGGTGACTCACGTTATTTGAGCTGACTGACCCTGACCTCAGACCCCAGAATAGCCGCGCCCTGCCGTCAGCTTCTGACTTGCAGCCCCCTCCCCAGGCACCGCCCCATGCTCTAGCGGCAGCTCCTGGAGCGCGGATCTTGACAAGTGCATGGACTGCGCTTCATGTCCAGCGAGACCGCACAGCGACTTCTGCTTGGGATGTGAGTGGGGGCGGGGCCGGTGGCCAGTGAATCCTAGAAGTGGGTAGAGGTTTGCTGGGGCGGAGAGGAGGGTCTTGAACTTAGGATCTAGAAAATCAGGGGAAACTGACTAGGGAAAGGGCTTCTATCAGGTTGGGGAACACTGTGGGGCAAAGCTTGAGACCCCCTTAGAGGACTGTCTTCCCGAGGGCGAAATCTGATTTGAGCCTTGGCCACTAGGTGCAGCAGCACCTCCTGCCCCCTTCAGACTGCTCTGGCCCATTCTGGGAGGCGCTCTTAGTCTGGCCTTGGTTTTGGCGCTACTTTCTGGTTTCCTGGTCTGGAGAAGGTGCCGAAGGAGAGAAAAGTTTACTAGTAAGTGACCTCTCCACCCTCCCTCTTCCCACCTTCCCCATCACTTCCCTAAATGTCCCCTAATCATGACAACCCCACTTCTTATTTTCTAGCCCCCATAGAGGAGACTGGTGGAGAGGGCTGCCCAGGTGTGGCACTGATCCAGTGAGGAACACCGGCACCGGTGCCCACTCATCGTCCATTCATTCATTCTGGAGCCAGCCTGGCCTTCCAGACAACCCAAGCCAGACTCTTCCAACCACAAGGGGGTGGGGTGAGGTGGTGATTCACTTCCCAGGACTGGGCTTAGGGTTCAGGGGAGCCTTCCAAGGTGGCTAGATTGCCCTGTCTCTGGTTCCAGGGCAGGGAGCCTCAAGCTGGGTCACAAAGCGACACATACTAAGGAACTGCAGCATTTGCACAAGGGGGTCCCCTGCTCCCCCCAAGTCCTGAAGACCTGGATGATTTGAAGGGCAGGCACAATAGGTCCCACCCACTCAGATGGGCTGAAATTCGACTACACTTAAGTTTCAGCCCTGGGAGTGGGTCAGATTTAGGGACCTGTACTTAACACTAAGGGGGCTGGCCCTCTGGGAGGGCTGGCCCTAATACAAACACACACACAACCCATCCTCTAAAGGGAGGAATATTTATTTTGGGGATAAAGTTTGGGGGGAGGGGAGATTTATTAATAAAAGAATCTTTAACTTGAAACGGTTTGGAGAATGGCCTGATCCCTAGCTTGTCTCCCCAGAACTGGAGGGAGGGAGGGAGCCAGTCGGCCACTGCGGGGGCGGGGGTGAGGCTCTGACTCACACATTCTCAATGCCTGGAGCCCAGCTTGCCAGGACCTGGCTTGCCCTCACCGTTTTCCAGGGAAGATTTTGAGGAGAAAACCCCAGCATCCAGCACTCCACCCTCCCCAAACACTGCTGAGAGACCTTTAACTGCTCAGAAATCTTTATTCACTAATGAGTTGATACTTTCCCCTTTCCAAGCTGCTGCCCCTTCCATTCAGGGTTTCACTGAGCTCGGTATCCTCTGTCCTGTTACAGGGGAAGGACCACATCCTTCTCTAGGGGTTGCTGGTCTCTGCTGTCAGGAACAAGGTGAAGAGGGACACTGGCCTTCAGCACTTAGAGCTCCATGATGTCCCCAGCTGGGGATGCAGGGTAGTAGGGACTGGGGGTATCCCCCAGCCTCAGCAGCCTGAGGGCCTCAGGGATCAGGCTCCCAGGATAGCGCCAGAGAAGCAGCTCTGGGCAAGGGCCCCTGAAAGAAGAAGAAGGGCAGTGAAAGTATGGGGCAGAGGCTGGCCTGGCAGAGCCACCTCCTTCCTACCAGGCCCAGGGCCCCTGGAGCCAAAGATGGAAAACAGCACAGAAGTTGGCTAGAAGCTAAAAATAGCATGATGAGGCAGAGCATGAGGAGGGGCTTTGAGGACTGAATGTGATTCTCTAGAAGGCCCTGCAAAGGGGAGGTTCCTACCTGAGTGGTGGCAGGGCTTGAGGAAAAGTCACAGGGGGACTGCAGTAGGGGTGGTCATTATGTAGGCTGAGTCGGGAGAAGTGGGTGGCCATGTTTTCCTCAGACAGAAACTGCTTGTGCAAGGGTTCCCTGGGGAAAGACCAGAGAGGAACAGAGGCAGGGATGTTGAGGGTGGAGGCAAACTAATGAGGACCCATCTGTCCCCAAACTTAATGCTCCTCCAGGGGTTTTTGTGCTCATGGCACAGCTCCTAGGAGAGGGGACCTGGGAAGTAGAGCCAGGTGTAGCCCACCCTCTTTACCTGAGGCTGCAGAGTAAACCAGGATTCCAGAATCAGTGTTGTCTGTGTGGCCATGTGATGGTCTCAGGCCATCATCCACCAGGCTAGCTCGGAAATCCTGCCGTGGCTTCCCAGCTCCAACACAAGCTCAAACACCACAGTTTCCTGTACCACCTTGCCTCACTTCCCAGGATCACCCTACTGACCGGCGCTGGGCCCCCAGCCAAAAACTCTTGCCCTCCGTTAGTCGGGCCCACACAGGGACCGCTTACGCACCTGGCGTCCAGGCCGCGAGTCAGCCCAGTGGTGGCCCGTGGGTCCCGACCTGGAGAGTCTCGCTCCAGGGACTGTTGTAGGATCATTACGGTCCGGGGTCCTGCAGATAGAGGGGTGGGATCCAGGCAGCAGAGGCGGAGCCTTTGAGGGCGTGGTGCAACGCGAGGGGCGGGGCCACCGGCGGGCTCAGTAGAGACGTTCCACGCAAGCGCGGACGAGGAGCACCGCGAGGTTAGAAGGCGGGACGGGTCGGCGGGGTGGGGGAGGGGATTCGGCGTAGCTGGACAGTCCGGGACGCTACTTAGCATAAGGGTCCTTCGCGGAGCCCCCCCAGGTTTCGGTGGTTCTAGACAGCACCGGTCTGCTGCCTTAGTTGTTGAACGGCAGGCAGTGCCAGTCCTGAGACGCAACGAGAAGAGCCACTCTGAGGCACGTAGGGAGTCGAGAGGTTGTGTCGCGCGTAGAGCCCTCTGGGACTTGTAGTTCTGAAGATGGATCACGTCGCACCGTCGCCGGTGCCGCTGGGTCAGGTGAGTCGAGTGTGCGCACAATGCCTTCTGGGGTTTGTAGTCTCACCATGACCGGGTGGCTAAGAAATACTCCAGAATACCCATTGTGCGTAGGTGGTTTGTGGGACTCGGACTCTGACCCCCAAAAACAGTGACCCCGATTTTTGGGATCTAATAGTGACATAGGGATTAGATGTCAACCACTTAAAAAAAATTAGCGCCTTAGAACGTGGTGCCACACACCTTTAATGCCAGCACTGGGGAGGCAGAGGCAGACATATCTTTGTGAGTTAGAAACTAGCCTGCTACATAGTGAGTTCCAGTGTCATATATCTTTCTTTGAACTTTGTTATATAATGGGAAATGACCTTGAACTTCAGCCTCCCTCTCAGTGTTACAGGCTGTTGGGTTTGCCATAATGCCCAATACATACAGTGCTGGTGCTCAAACACAGGACTTTGGATAAGAATAGTTTTTAGCAATTGGAGAGATGGAAGAGGACCCGAGTTTGGGTTCCAGCACTCAAGTTCTAAAGCTTCCAATTGCCTGTAACTCCAGCTCATGGGGATGTACATCCTTTGGCCTCTGTGGACACCTGCACTCACTTGCACGTACTCCCCTCACACACATATACACATAATTAAAATCAATAACAATAAAATCGTTTTTAAAAAGAGCATGAGCCAGGTGGTGGTGGTGGTGCATGCCTTTAATGCCACCACTTGCAAGGCAGAGGCAGGTGATCCCTGAGTTTGAGGCCAGCCTGGTCTACAGAGTTAGTTTCAGGACAGCCAGGGATTACACAGAGAAACCTTGTCCTCCCCAGAAAACAAAACAAAACAAAAAACACAACAACAAAAGAAGAGCATGATCAACCCGTTGAGTAGTTACCCTTGGCCTCAACAGCCACTTTATCTTTTTTTTTTTTTTTTAAACAAGTTTTCAGGAAGTACATCAGGCTGGCCTGGAACTCATAGAGATCTGCCTGCCTCTTCCTTTCAAGTGTTGGGATTACAGGCGTGCCACCACACCAGGCCCATTTATTTTCTTGTAAGATTTATTCATTGCTTTATGTCTATAAGTGTTTTTCCTACATGTTATATGTGTGCTGTGTGTGTTTATGGTGTCCTCAGAAGCCAGAAGAGGCATCACAAGGGGCTGGAGAGATGGCCCAGTGATTAAAAGCACTTCCTACTCTTCTGGAGGTACCAAGTTCAGTTCCCAGCAGCCATATAGGAATGGATTTACAGATGCTTGTAATCCAGTTTCAGGAGATCCAACACCCTCTTTTAGTCTTCATAAGCACTTGTATACACAGCACAGCACACATTCACACACACATTTTAAGAAAAGAAAAAAAAACAAAACAACAAACAAAAATCAAGGCCTAATGACTCAGTGCCTTTATTCGCAGCACTTGCAAGGCAGAGGTAGGCAGATCTCTATGATGCCAGCCTGGTTTACATAGTGAGTTCTGGGACAAAGAAGGCTGTTTGTGAGAACCTCTCTGGAGGGATTGAGGGAGGTGATGTCAGCTCTCCTGGAACTGGTTACAGATGGTTGTGATCTGCCATGTGGGTCTGTGAGGGGTCTCTGCAAGTGTAGTGCACACTCACCTGCTAAGCCATCTCTTCAGGTACACCCTGCCCTCACACCCGTTTTTAAAATATTGATTTATTATTTTTGTTCACTTAGTTTTTTGAGACAGGGTCAGCATATTTCAGGCTGACCTGGAATTTGTCATGGAGTGGGGGATATCCTCCTGCCCTGCACCTCCTGAGTGTTGAACTCACAGGCCACAGGTGTGTGCCTGCTTAATTTAGTACTCAGCGCTGGGGATTGAGTTTAAAGCATGGTGCATGCTAATCAAGCACTCTTATCAATTCAGTTATATCCTCAGATGTGTGTGTGCGTGTGAGAGAGAGAGACTATCTCATGTAGCCCAGGCTACCCTTGGATTCACTAGGTAGCTGAGAGTAATCTTGAATTACCACTGATCCTCCTATTTCCGCCTGTCAAGTACTGAAATCACAGTTGTGCACTACTAAACCTGGCTACAAGGCTCTTACTCTTCGTGACTTTACCTAATTATGACAGCGTTCCCTGGGAGTGCCATCTGCCTGTTAAGCTGACAGGAGAGGCTTGGTGCTTGCTCTGGGTTTTAGGCACCGCACCTCTGCTCCCCTTTCACTCTTCCTGGAGCAACTCTTGTACGAGCAGATACCAGTAGGAGGAGGCCCCAGATCTCCCAGAATCCCTGCATCCACCCTCTTCCCACAGGCTGAGGTATCTCAGGCCCTGCAGCGACTGCACATGACCATCTTCTCTCAGAGTGTCTCGCCCTGCGGGAAGTTTCTGGCAGCTGGCAACAATTATGGGCAGATTGCCATCTTCAGGTACCCTCTACTCCTAACTCCCGTCACACATGAGCCTTAGCACTCATGCCTTCTGGGATTGATGCTCCCTGCTTCTGACTCTTGGCTCCTCCTCACCTTTCTTTCAGTTTGTCTGCTGCCTTGAGTTCAGAGGCCAAAGAAGAAAGCAAAAAACCCATGGTGACCTTCCATGGTGGGTATAGCTGTTGGGCACAGTTCAGGAGACCTCAGGGTAGAGATGGGGACACAGTGGGCTTATTAATGTTTTCTGTGTCCCTTTAGCCCATGATGGGCCTGTCTACAGCATGGTCTCCACAGATCGACATCTGCTCAGTGCTGGGGATGGGGAAGTGAAGGGCTGGCTTTGGGCAGAGATCCTCAAGAAGGTAGGAGTTTGGAGCCTGCACGGGCTGGGCTTCCCCACCTGGAGAGGTTTGGGGATCATTCAACATTTCCTCCTGTTTCTCTGTGAAGGGCTGTAAGGAACTGTGGCATCGTCAGCCTCCATACAGGTGAGCGAGGACCTTGTTGGTGAAGGGCATGTGAGGTCAATGACACTATCTCTGGGATTCTGACCCCTCTCCTCCTCCACCTAGGACCAGCCTGGAAGTACCTGAAATCAATGCCTTGCTGCTTGTCCCCAAGGTCTGAGCTCTTTGTGACCATTCTAGGCCAAATGTTGCTCTCTGCCATGATTGGCACCAACTTTCAGCTCTCTTGCTTCCCCCATAGGAGAATTCACTTATTCTAGCAGGGGGAGACTGTCAGCTGCACACCATGGACCTGGAAACTGGGGCCTTCACAGTGAGTAGGGGTCTGGAGCCAGGACAAATCTGGGACAAAGTGGGTATGCCTCCTGGGTCTTCTCCTGAGCCTTCCTTTTTTCCCTGCAGCGGGCCCTCCGGGGCCACACAGATTATATCCATTGTCTGGCACTGAGGGATCGAAGCCCTGAGGTGCTATCCGGCGGTGAGGATGGAGCTGTACGGCTTTGGGGTAAGGAAAAGACCAATTAGCAAGAAAGTGAGCTGGGTCTGGTGGCACATGCTTTTAATCCCAGCACTTGGGAGGCAGAGACAGGCAGAGATCTCTGTGAGTTCAAGGCCACTGTGGTCTACAGATCTAGATCCAGGAAGGCTAGGGCTATGTAGAGACTGTCTCAAAGAAAAAAAAAAGTGAGACAGTGGGGGTGGGGCTTTGTGGCTCATCAAGAGTCCTGGTGATTTTATTTCCCCACAGATCTACGTATAGCCAAAGAGGTTCAGACCATCGAGGTCTATAAGCATGAGGTGAGGAGAGACCTACATCTTTGTCCTCTTACTTATCTGCCCTCCAGTGCTCTCACCTCTTGTCTCCTTCTCAGGAGTGCTCACGGCCCCACAATGGGCGCTGGATTGGATGTTTGGCTACTGACTCAGACTGGATGGTGAGCTGGGCAGAGTGTGGGATGGAGTGATCACTAAAGTCCATGGCTTGGAATGACTGGGGCCTGCTGCCTTTCTGCCTAGGTCTGTGGAGGGGGCCCAGCCCTCACCCTCTGGCACCTCAGATCTTCCACGCCCACCACTGTCTTTCCCATTCGGGCACCACAGAAGCATGTCACCTTCTATCAGGACCTGGTGAGACCCACTGTCTTGATTCTATCACTTTCTCCAGTGCCCCTGTCTAGCCCTGACCCCTGAACTTCTTTGTCCTCCACAGATCCTGTCTGCCGGCCAGGGCTGTTGTGTCAACCACTGGCAGCTGAGTGGGGAGCTTAAGGCCCAGGTGCCTGGTTCCTCCCCAGGGCTGCTCAGCCTAAGCCTCAACCAGCAGCCAGCAGCCCCAGAGTGCAAGGTGGGTCTTAGAACGGATATGGGATCTCAGGGGACCTATGGGATGGGTGGTCAGCCATGTCTTCTTGGCTTTTAGGTCCTGACTGCTTCAGGCAACAGCTGTCGAGTGGATGTCTTCACCAACCTGGGCTACCGAGCTTTCTCCATGTCCTTCTGACATCATGATCCTCTGTCTTGGGATGGGGGTCTTGGGTCTTGTACTTTAGCCCAGGCTGGCCTGGAACTCACTTTGTGGCTCAGCTAGGTCTCAAACTTCGAGCAGTTCTCCTATCTGTGGCCAGAGTGCTGAGACTGAGAGCTGTGAGCCACTACATTCAGCTTTTTTTTTTTTTTTTTTTTTTTTTTCTGTCAAAATAAAGTTTTAGGCTTTTCTTGTTTGTACTTTCTATCCAAGAATGGAGACCAAGTAAGTATAGTGATTTATATATGGCTCTGACTTATCTTTACACATAAATACCCATTCCCAACCCTGTCCCACAGAAAGGGCAGGAGCCCAGTGCTTAGAGAAGATAGACCTATATGATTCTGCCCTGCCACCCACCTGGAGCTCCTGCCCCAAAGCTGGCCCCTGCTCCCAAAGTGCCTCTGTCCACCTCTTGGGGCAAGGAAGACAAAGGTCTCACTTGGAAATTATCCAGGCCCTGTGGTTCTCTTGGCTGTTAGGAAGAAAATGAGCCCCAGGACGAGGAAAGGTAGCCCTGTTGCTCAGCCCTCAGGTCCTTCGAAAGAGGTTGCTTAGAAATCCTCCATTCTGGCCCGATCCCAGACGAAGTAAAAAGCCAGTCTTTGTGCGTCGCTGGGCTGCTGCAGCCTCATTGAGCTCCTTCTGACGCTGGGAGCGCACCTGCTGTCCAATCACCACCTGCATGTCATCCTGCAGGAGCAGGGTGGGTAAAGGTCAGAGTGGGGGTGGGGTCAGATCAGGATGTATGTCCACCAGTCATGTTCAGAGCCCGCTCTCTCACCTGCCAAGCCTCGAGTTCCTGTGTCAGCGCCACTTTCTGGCTGATGGCTCGCAGCAGTTCCCGGGACAAAGAGTCCCGCTCTAGGGAGACACGACTGAGCTCCAGGGACAGCTTCAGGGCCCTACGAGTAGAAGGGGTAGAGAATGTTCTCCGAAGGCACTGGGGACTCTTGGACACTGGTAAAAAGGGCAGGGGACACTAGCAGCGAAATTTGGGAGGACTGGAGCTTCTGAGTCAAGGTGGGGGTTATATCTTCAGGGCGGTGGAAAATGAGGGCCCAGAAAAGACTAGAGAACAAGGCCCACAGAGGCAGTGGGTGAAAATGCTAGGCTCACTTGTTCACTGCTTCGTCCCGGTCAGAGAGTGCACAGCTCAGGGCTTCCTCTGGATTGTCCTGCGCCCTCAGCTCCTTCTGTCGCTGCAGCTCACCCCGTAGGGTCTGTAGTTCTGTGCGGTACAGGACGATCTGAAGGCCAGGGAAGAAGATAGACTGGTACATAAGTCTTGTAGGGCAACGTGCCCTCCCGCAGCCTGCACCTGTGACGTGACGGGGAGTAGGATAAGCCTTCAGCAGGAGGGATGAAGGGAGAAGTTTAGAGAGGAGAGTGGAGCCCAGAAGGCTTTGGGAACACACAGGCCAGCTCAGGAAGCAACTACAGGTTCACTGAGGAGTGGGTTGGACAGTGAAGATGGGAAAGAACAGGGCATCTTGGGCCTTTGTATCCAGTACTATGCTCTCTCCAACCTCATCCTGCAGCCTGGCCACTTCAGCCTCCTTCTGCTCCAGTGTCTCCACTGGGCTCAGGGATGCTCGCTTCTTGGGGGGCTCCAAGCTCTCTTCCTGGATTGAAGGCTGGGGACTGGATGCCTCTTGGATCTCCGGGGACAAGATAGTCTGTAGGCCAAAGGAATTGATCACTGCTTCATGGAACCGCGGGGGGCAGGAGGGGAGGGGCAGAGTCTGCATCCCTCATTGATTATTCTAATACGGGGTGGTAGGCTGAAAGCTCACCTGGGCGCCTTCACACTCATTAACATGCTGGTCTTGGTCACTGTCAAGGCTGTGGGCAAGCTCCGACTGTAGGGAGGCACCCGACACTTCGGCGTCCTGGAGTCTCGACTCCTCCTCCAGCTCTGAGACCCGCCGCTGCAGCCTCCGCAGCGTGCTCAGTGCCTCTCCAGCCTCGAAACGAGCGCGTTCCAGCTATAGATCATGCAGATCATTCTTACAGTCAGCAGGAAGCCTGCGCTCTGCGGTGGGCCCATAGGGGGCGCCCGAGGGCCGAGCAATGCTAGGGTCAGCACCCCGGTGGACTGGCCCGGCCCCCTCTCGTGAATCATACAGCAATCTGGAATACACACCTCCCCTCCGCAGGCACCAATTTCCTCTCCCGTAAAGCAGGGCGTGTCTGGCATCATCCTCCGGCCCAGGCCTGGCCCCATCAGGTCATCAGGTCCCCTCCCCTGCACAACCTTCATTCTAATTCACTAATTGCTTTGATCTAGCGTTTACTGATCCTTCTGAGTCTCACACACTCACCTCGGTCTTTGAGGTGTATGATACCACCCCTTCTCACAAGCGGGGAAACTGAGGTAGGGTGGGGCTGAGAAGCCAAACCATCTGAACTCAGACTCCCCTCCCTTTCCACTCTTTCACCCTGTTCACAGCCCCAGACCAGGCATTTCTGTCCTGAGCTCTGACCTCAGCCCTCTTCCCCGCCTTCCAGCCAGGCTCCCATGCACTTTAAGAGTGCATTCCCTCACTCCATTCTCTTTCTTGGTTCTCATTTGCCCTCAGGGTCCCACTTGCTCCTGCTCTTGGCGATTTAACTGACCCAGAAAGTCCTGAGGCATTGCCAAGGGCCTAGCTAGCTGCCCCCCACCCCCACCCCTCTGGTCACCTCTAGCTTGTGCTCTTTTCTCTCTCGGCGAAGCAGCAGCAACTCCTCGTGGGTGGTCTGTAGCCTGCTTTGACCTTTGTCCACTTCTTCACGAAGGCCTCGGATCTGGGCCTCCAGGTCCTGCCGGCGGTCCTGCAGCATCTGGTTCTGGGGACAGGTGTCAGAGATGAGGCAGAGGCTGGGGAGGGGGGCTGCTGGGCCAGTCTCAGGGAGCACTCGCTGGTAACTCACCTCTGCCTGCAGACTTTCCAGCCGTGTTCTCTGCTCCGCCCCGGCCAGGGCTTGAGTCTGACACTGCCCCCGAAGGGTGTCCAGCTCCCGCTGCAGGTCCTGCTCGGTCCTGGAGGCCTGGGGTGGGGGTACTGACAATGAAGCTATCCAACGGTCTGGGTTCAACACCAATAGTCTGCCCTGTGACTTGTCCCTCACTGAGGACCAGTGTGTCAGACGCCCTCCCCAGGAGTCAGAGCCATTCTACCTGGGCCAGCTGCTGGCTGAGTCTGAGGTTTTGCTCGCTGAGTTCACTGAGGGCCCTTGCCCGCTCTCGACCACTGTCCTGCTGCTCTGATCGCTGTTCCCCAAGCTGGGCCCGTAGGGCTTCCACATCTCCCTCCAGCTCCACAGCTCTGGCCTCCCACTCAGCACCCCGGGCTGCCAGTCCACGGCGGAGTTCATGATTCTCCTGCTGCAGCCTCTGTGGGGAGGGGAAAGATGAAGCCACCTGGATTGGAGCAAACTCAGAGCCCAGAGACCGGGATGGAGGGTGGGCCACACAGATCGAAAGAGGCCAGTCTGTCTAAGACATAAGAAAGCAAAAGCGGAGAGGCAGAAAGAGTGGGAAGACACCCCGAGAGAGCTGGAAAGCAGGTTCCAGGCAGAACAGGTGGGCTGACACAGGACAAGGGTGGGAGTCATGCCCTGAGGCCCACTCACCTCCTGCTGCCGCCTGGGCTTCTGGACTCGAAGTCGTAAGCGTCGTTTTTGACGCCTGAGTCTGGTAGAATTTAAGCCCCGGCCCATGGCCTCCCACTTCGATGTCTCCTGGAACTTCTGTGGGCCAGCTTGGCCCAACCCCTCTCCTCTTCTCCCTCTAATTAATGCTGGGCTGTCACACTCAGAGCCCCACCCATCAATCTGCCCTCCTCCAAACCTGTTGGACCAGCAAAAGGGGGGGGGGCACGACACACTAAGGTGTCCAGCATGAGAAGACAGACAGGTCTGGGGGCGTGTGTCCACTGTCTCCAGGCCCTCAAAGCAGGAAGGGATGAGCCAGGTGACTCTAACCACAGTTGCTACAGTTCCTAGCAGGTGTTTCAGCCAGGTGCTTTTCTGGCTTTCTATCTGTATTGCTTCATTTTGTCCACTAGAGGGAGCACCAACATCCTCAGATGAGGAAGCAGGGTCAGAAGCTAGAAGGGATGGCAATCTATGTAGTCAAACTTACTCAATATTGCTAGGGTAACAAAGCCCTGGGCAGCTTTGAGGCCCAATTTTCCTGACTGGTGCTTAGTTCTGCTACTTGCAATTTCTGGAAGTCCCTTTAATATCTTCAAGCCCTTGTTCTTCAACCCCTACAGACATACATCATCCCTATTCAGTATTTCCTGTGTTCCTTTTATTCTAGTATCTGGCTAAAGAACTGAGGGAGACCGGCAAATTCAAATTAATTGCCAGAGGGTCACAGGCAAATGGGCACATGCCCGACTCAGGCAATTTCAGAGAGTAAAGGCTGTGGAGGAACTCAGGGAAGTAAGGAGGAGGCTGATGTTTGCATTGGCCCCTGCAGGACAAGGGAAGCCAACCAGAAAGGGGGTTGCTAGTGGAGCAGCACGTGCTACCAGAAGCAATGGCACACGTCTGTAATCTCAGCATTTGGGAGACTGAGGTGGGAGGATGGTGAGTTCGAGGCCAGCCCTGAGCGGCATAGCAAACCTGGGGCAAATGTAAAGGCCCTAAAGGAGCAGGCCTGAGGCACTCAAGGAACTGAAAAAGACCCTGTCAGGAGAGGGGAGGTGAAATTGACATCAGAGGACAGCAGTAGCAGTTCCTGGGACTTTCAGGCCACAGAAAGGAGCTTCAGTTTCATTCTAAATGTGATGGGAGATGCTGGTCCAGGAATAAAGTAATGTGATTTTTTTTGTTTCATGACAGGGTTTCTCTGTGTAGCTCTGGAGCCTGTCCTGGATCTCTGTCTGTAGCCCAGACTGACCTCTAACTCACAGAGATCCACCTGCCTCTGCCTTCTTTCCCAGCACTGGGATTAAAAGTGTGAATTGGATTTTTCTTATTCTCTACTACCAGATTCATAGAGTCCGGGAAAGCTGGGCCAATGTGGGAATGCTGCTGAGCTTGAGGTGGAGATATGCTGAAGCTACACAGCAAATGAAATATGGGATGGGGAATTCGGAACCTGGAGTAGAAAACTCAGCATGGCTGACAGGCATGCCAAGAGTCCTGAGTAACATTCATATCCACATGCTGGCTGGTGGCCTGAGGGAGAGGGTGCAGGGCAGTTGGCCA